CGAGATTGTGTAACAATTGGTATCAGAGCCCAGGTGCCCGGAATAAATCTCGATGGACTCACGGGTGGTCGATCATGGATGGTGGGCTGGAAACGCTGGTGTTAGCGGGCCCATGGGTGACCGATGTGTGAGGGGAGATTGTTGGGTTTAGTTCCACATCGGTTGTGGGGGAGGGGGAGGCATAACACGACTTATAAAGGCGGGGGTGTCCCCTACTAACAGGCTAGTCTTTTGGGGGAAGAGGGCCCAAGGCCTGTCATAAGTCTGTATTGGTCTCCGGTTGGGTCTGTTTGTCGCATGTGGATCGGAAACGCTGGTGTTAGCGGATCCGAGATTGCGTAACATAAGAGGTGGCATCTCTTATAGACTGTCACTGGACAATACTTATTAGCAAATAAGATTAATTTTGTTATCTTATTACTAGCCTGCTAGTTAAGATTGTAATGATTTCTACAAAATGTGGGTTGCTTTTGTAAGTGAACTGGATAAGAAGAAAAGTCAATAGAAGGATGAACCACTGAAGCGATAAGCCCAGATGAACCTGTTTGAGATGAACATCAATGTTTTTCAAGGTGATTAGGTAGCCATAGCAGAGATATCCACCAGAATATTCCTTGCAATGATACGATGGCCAACTTTGGCACTTTTTTCTCCGATAGCATGTTACCTGGACACAATAGCCTCCATGTGGATGTAGCTGCTCTTAGAAGGCTCATGAGTTAGTAATGACAGTGTCATGAGTAAATGTTGGCAGCCTGGTGGCTAACACAGTGTTGGTGCTCTTGTGGTTTCTCCCCGTAAATCTCTGCATACATATTCTAGGTCGTTAGAAAAAAAATATCTTCTTCAAATTTGGTAATCATGAGTAGTTGTGAACGAAGTCTAGCTTAAATGGTTAGGTTTTGTGGTGAAATATGCCTACGAGGATTCAAGTGCTAGATTTTTCTTGCGGGGTTCAAGTGCTAGTGTATTTTCTGAATTTATTTTAGACTCTTTGGCATAATTTTTTAGTGGTATGGCGTGTCAGTCGACTACGAGGTGTTCATGTCATCTTCGTCAATCTTAAGATTTATGAGCTCAATCTCTTGAAGGTGTTCATGGGATATATTACATTTTACGTGCATATGTACATAGAGTTGCGGCGTACGTGTTCTGAGTGTCTATATTTGGATTGTGTTTGTTTCTTAAAAGAAATCTAGTTCGCTAGAAGTTAGAAGTATATACAATTTTCTACAAATTTTGTCCACACACAAGAAAAAAAGGGTTGTCACATTTGAGCAAAATGACTTGTTTCATAGTAGTACGATTCACCATATTATATTATTTTTTGAAAAGCAGCCACGATACACATAGCATTTGAAGTATATAATCGGACGCCAAAAACTCTATTTTATTTCACCATCCATCCGTTGTAACATATACATCCACCACTTTGGATTTTCGGTTCCTATTGGCGACGCGAAGACTCGAAAAGGTTGCGAGAGAACGAAACAAACAACGACGTAGTATACTCGAAGGAACCGCTTATCCAATCCAAAAAGAAAAAGAAAAGGTGAGAGCAGCTGCATGGAGCAACACAGTCGGTGTGGCACAGAAGATCGGCAGCAGAACTCGCGAACTATTCCCAGAAGACACGCTCACGCCATGACCTTGCAGAGATGGAAGATTCGGAGCATAATTCCTTGCCTGGAAACCGAATATCCAACCGGATATTGTACCAGATCCTCTGCGCGTCCCTATCCCGCCATAAAGCCCCGCTCCTCCCCTCTCTCTCGAAATAAAAAAACCACAGGAAACTCCGCCTCGAAGTTGTCTTTTCCCTCGCGGCAAAACCCAGAAAAGAAATTACACACTGTTTTTTTGCTGCTTCTTTGGCGTGATTTTCTTCCTTGTTGAGAACAGTGATGCGTAGATTCCTTTTCCATGAGTGATAGTGTGCTTCTCATGAGTTCTCGCGTGTGCGTGTGCGCAAGTCCAGGTGTCATTGGACGGCCGCTTGCTTGTTTTTAGAAAGCGGGAGTGGTTGTTTCACTATTTTAAGTAGTGAGAGATCAGAGTT